ATACTTGCTGCTCTCATTAGTCATCGTTTGTGTATACTGCTTATCAGTTCCCTTTTGATAATGAATGAATTTCAAGAAACACATTGACATTAGTGATGTATACATTCCTGGTCTTCATCTTCCAGCTCCACTTCAAGATTCATTTCTCCGAGTTCCATTGTCTTCCGAGCTACTGCTCCGTTTGATACATAACGATCCGGAATGCGGATAATCCATTCCCTTTGGCATGGCTGAAAGTGAAATATAACTCCGCTGTACTTTGATTAATGTACATCTACACTGATCTGCTTACTATATTATCATCAGTTAACGATTTAGAAAGAGCTCATGGCTTAGAGTTGAACTGTTCAATGCCCATAACCCGCAGTCCAATGTGTCCCCTCATGAACGGTGGCACTTAGCCCTAGTTTTTCGGCATATATACATACATACGTACACCACACATCGTGTATCCTCGGTTTCTTCGTTCAGTTCCAAACATTAGCAGTTGGGAACATCGTCGCAACATATATCGGGTACCACCTCACATTGTCCGTTTCAAAAGAATAAATCCAGGTCATCCACGGCATAGCACTGATTAGTTGAACCTCATTATCGAAAGAAGTCCTCATGGCACTCAACAATCAAATCGTCATTTTAGAATCTTTGATTTTCGAACTTTACTCTTCAACTTTGCTAGAATTGGCCCGTAGTGAAAGAGGGTCATTCAGTCCTCGAAAGATTCCGGTTTTGTCCATAACTTCTCGAAGTCAAGGGGAAACGATGTTATGATTCCCAAACTGGTTTCTGAATGTAACAGTTTCCTCAGTGTAAAACATGATACAAATGGTTTAATGTTCCACCGCCTATCTTGACGTTATCTTCAAGTTTAAACCTAAATTAGAATAATCAAAACTGCTTGTTGATTTTGTGGAACTACACAACATTACACGTATCTGATTGTTCCAGGTGTGAGGAAGCGTAGCGCAAGGGGAAATTTTGTTCTGACCTACGTTCTTACGCACAAGCATCTCAGAAGTTTGCGTAACAGCAGAGAAAATCAGTGCCCATCTTTATGGATCCGTGACCTTACTGCCACAGCCTTGGAAGATTTCGCTGACAAGCAAGTTAAACTTCAAACTGGCAATAAATACTATTACAATCACACCGTCGTGAACTTGGAAACAAATCAGTTCTTCAAAAATTTCCAAAACAACAGCTTTTTCGGCGATATTACCTTTGACCTTGACCTTAAAAGATAAATTGAAATGCATTTACTAGTTTAATTCAATGTCACCACTTGGCTTGCCTTATGTATACAGTTCCAGTCGCGAAAGTCTTCTTGGCGCAGAATGAATTGGGAAAAAGAAAAAAAGACTGGAACTAATGTCCAACAGATTCTTTCAGACCTTATGGCTTATGATAGGCTTGTTAAGTCGTTCCTCTCAAAGTAGCAAAAGACCGTTATCGTTCCCAGTCTTAGGCAGTTAAATCGCAATCTCTTCATGGCTCTTTGATCTAAGAAAAACTAACGTGCATCTTTTCAGACTCCTATCTTCAGCATCTCCTTCATGTTCACTCGGGTGTTAGTTGGAAGAGTTGATGCCAATATCGAGAATCCTATTCGGGCTGTCATCAGTGAAAATTAGATAGCAACCGATAGCTTGATTCCAAATCCCGTTCCGAGTAATGCGATCATATTCATTGATTACGTTGTATCTTTCGCTGGCCCTTACATCTCTTCGTTCTCGGTCTCTTTTCTAAATGGCCAAGTCTTTAAGCGACGGAAGGACTGCACCAACAACCATCCATTTCCTCACAGAAATATTCGCTCCATTCGGAATGCTGGAATTCTCGTTTCTGATCCATTTCATTTCCAGTGAAATTTCAGAACTTTTATTCTGCTCATTTCCGTATGGAGCACATCTGATTACAGTCTTTACATCCAAAATTCACTGGTCAATTGGAATGCTTTGTGCACATTATCAAGCGCGTTATCCAAGAGGGTAATAACTAAAAGCTCTCAACTCTTTCTGTTGGGCATGTAGCGATCAGTGATCGTATTCCAATTTGGAAACCCTTTGTCGATCACTTTTCGCCCGTCGTAGCCTGTTTCATGTGTCAGATTACCATGGTGGAATCTGCCATAACAATTCGATAAGCATTATAAGCTATTCCAGGTGTTTACTCATTTATATCAGGGAGTTTTGTGTTGATTTCAAGATATTCTAGCTATCAAATTAAATCCTTCGAAATATCTGTATTTGGTTTACGATAGGAGGAAAGTCTTGAAAAGACATGTTAATCAGATCATTCTGTGTTTTAGTACTTGGCCATAAGGCCATCCCAAACCATGGGTTTTCTGTAGGAGTTACAGTGGAGTAGCACTAGCAATGGTACCAGTTAATACCTTTGCAATATCCATTGATGACATTACTTTGAGTAATGATATTCGGAACAACTAAGCAATCACAACTCGTCTAATCAGTTCATACTTTCTTGTCTTCAGTATTACTCCATAAAGATTCGCATTCCATTCATGTTAATTTTATCTTTTTCCCATCACTTATGAAGGTTTCTGTGTTCAACAGTTATTCCATTCTTCACATCATGTTATATTCAACTCACA